TAAAAACATAAATACAAGTTTAAAAAATGACCAAAAAATGTCAGCAAAAAATATTAAAAAAACAATACATAAATGAACGTCTTAAAAGAAGAAAAGACCCACATGAACATACACAGTGTTGGAAACAAAACTAAATATAGTAAAAAGTTGAGATATTTATTCAGTCTTCAACAATATACATATTCCTAAATATTGGCATGCTGAGTGTCACACAAAGATGACTGGAAATGGTCACACTTGTCTTATTGTTGATCTTGAATCTTTTCTCCTCATGGCGGCAGGTGAGGAAGGAGTGGGAGGAGGCTGACCGCCAGGCCAAGAACCTGCCCAAGGCTGAGAGGCAAACTTTGGTCCAGGTCAGTCACCGCTCCCTGTGGTTGGGTCAGCTAGGACACCGTAGCACGCTTTCTTTGACCATTACATTGGAACTAAAACAGGGGTGTCAAATTCATTTTTTTCGCGGACCACTTTGGAGTTATGTCTTTCCTCAACGGGACGGGCCGTTATGAAACTAGTGGAACCAAATAAATGTTTAATCGTCTCATCATATTATTACTTGTACACGACAAAGTGATGGATTGGTAATTTGGAAATCAGTCAACTATGATATTTTGTTCCATTATTGTTCAAATGTAAACAGAGTAACCAAATTACTGCAAAATTTCAATGTTGTTTATTACACATGACAATATGACATTTTGGTACAGATTTTAGCAAGGATCATGGAAGTTGACACATGATTTGCTTTCGATTACTTGTACACGACAAAGTGATGGATTGGTAATTTGGAAATCAGTCAATTATGATATTTTGTTCCATTCATTCATTCATTCATTCATCTTCCGAACCGCTTGATCCTCACTAGGGTCGCGGGGGGTGCTGGAGCCTATCCCAGCTGTCTTCGGGCAGTAGGCGGGGGACACCCTGAATCGGTTGCCAGCCAATCGCAGGGCACACAGAGACGAACAACCAACCACGCTCACATTCACACCTAGGGACAACTTAGAGTGTTCAATCAGCCTACCATGCATGTTTTTGGAATGTGGGAGGAAACCGGAGTACCCGGAGAAAACCCACGCAGGCCCGGGGAGAACATGCAAACTCCACACAGGGAGGCCGGAGCTGGAATTGAACCCGGTACCTCTGCACTGTGAAGTCGACGTGCTAACCACTGGACTACCGGGCCGCCGATATTTTGTTCCATTATTGTTCAAATGTAAACAAAGTAACCAAATTACTGAAAAATTTCAATGTTGTTTATTACACATGCCAATTTGACATTTTGGTACAGATTTTAGCAAGGATCATGGAAGTTGACACATGATTTGCTTTCACGGGCCACATAAAAAGATGTGGCAGGCCGGATTTGGCCCCCGGGCTTTGAGTTTGACATCTGTGAAGGAAAAGATTGGCCGACAAAGCCAAAATAG